TGATGCCTTTGAGAACGCACGCAGGATCACTCTCGAGGAGAAAAGACAACGCAGAAAGAACCATGTCTTGCAGAATACACCATCTAAGGAGTCTTTCTGCTGTGCCTTTTGCAATTGGATATGTCTATCTTGTGTTGGCCTTCTTAGCCACCAGCGTGCTTGTAACAAACGTGGATAGAGCCTTCCTGAATCTTTGTTCGCGAAGCCCAGCCATGATACATGAGAATACAAGATACTTTTGTGTCTATAGTACACACTCAGATTGCTAATTATGCAAATAATAAAGAAAAATATGGAAACATACTTAATTTCTTACTATTACACATTTTTGTGTCACTGCATGAAGATGTACAAATACTTAACCTTATACTAAAACCCAGTGTGGCCAATATCAATCTGAACCAAAGGATCAGGCAGAAAGCCAAAATCAAAATTTTCACAGAATAGGTTTAAGTCTGATTAATACACATTTGATCCAGAAAGCTTCTGATGCAGTGAGCCAGAAAGCTTCTGATGCAGTGAGCCCAATATTTAAAAACAAGAAAGCAAATGGCCATCTAATATTAGTAATAAAAACCCAACTCTAATGTATGTTCTTCTAAACAAAGGAGTATTTGTACAATCAGTTCGCAAACACAGTGAGAATTCCTCAGTACAAGCACAGTTTTAATGAACAGTCCTTATTTCAAAATCTTAAATATCTTTCAGCTGCATATTCACAATATGAAACATTTTAAGCAGCCAAATTAAAAGAATGGAAGCATTATACAGAAGTGCATGGCAACATCTGGCCATTATTATTTGCAGTAACACGATGAAAACTAGTAGAAAGTGTATGGGCTTGTCTATTTTTATGTATTATCTCTTCTAGGAAAGGAAGGTACAATGACTTTTCCAATTGATTTAGGATTTCATTGGGTCTGTCTACAGAAATAAGGTAACAGGATTTGACTGTATTAAATAACCCACCATTATTATTTCCACTGTATGATGTATAACCTCTAGTTACTTGATTTTTCAATAATTCTGAGCATCTGTGTCCTATGCATTAAACACAATAAGCAAGTACTGAATAGGTCTGAAAGTTAAAATGTAAGTTGACTCTTTTTTCTGAAGAACTTTCATATTAAAATTACCACTGACTTTGATGGTAGCAAAATTCTAGGCAAAGGCTTCAATAAAGCAGTAGTTAACATTTCATATTTTGAAGTAATACCACAGTATTAATTTTGAATGTCACATAAGTACATATTTAACCTACATTATTGAAATTAATAATTTTATCTCGTTCAAGATAATGGTGTTTCTACCTCGAAGAATCAGTATCTTGGTGACACAAGTGAAAAGCCAGGATAAGAACACAGAGGCCATGCTTTTGTTTATACTAATTAGAGATTAAAACATTATTTAGAATCAAGCTT